AACCACCTGGCCATGCCGGGCCTTCACCAGGTGGAATTACTTAGCAGCACCAACTATTAAAAGTGCTTTGGCAAGGCTCTTTGAACCGAATAATTGGATTGACTGTTACTTTTAAAACGTTACCACAGCTGAAAATGTGGGATGTGTTTAATTACAACATTATATCTTAAACTTTGGATCCTTTGATTCTAAAACCTAATACACTAACCAACTAGGCCGTGCTTGGTCTTCAAACAAGTGTTGGCGATTAAAAACAAGTATGAAAAATAAATCATTCTGGAAAACACGTATCAAACTCATTCACTCCACATTTAGTGGTACATTATATTATGATGCTACTTATGAATATAATAACTGTGTTTAATTGTAATTACATAACAATATGCGAATATAATACAAAGACACACATAGTAAATATTTTGCCAACAGATTTACATATAGGAATATCAATGGTTCTATTTACTAATTAGATCAAACCAATACTAAAGAATTAATTATTATTAGCCTAAATATAAAATACATTGGTTGAAGGGAAAAGTTTAGATTTATCGATTTGTTTCATATTTTATATTCTAGACTAAAAAAATTGAAGCTATTAGCGTCCTAATGTATACAATAAGCGATTTTTCTAAAGGATGTTACCTATGTATGCATCACTGTAGTGTACAATATTATAACACAACCAGTACCTGATCTAGGATTTTGAAAAGGGCAACTGGATGGGTGCCATATAATTTCAGCATACATCATTTATATTATGCAGCCAGATGATCAACCAAACTTAAATATAATATTCTAAATTATTGGCCCGTAGTTAGGAGAGACAGGAAATAAAATATTTTTATTAAAATAATTTATTGTTAAAATGGGCGCACTTTAGGGCAAAAGGGCGCAGAATTATGTTTGTTTTGAATTTCGCGCAAAGCTATAGGAGGGCTATCTGCGCTAGACGTCCCCAATTTAGCAGTGAAAGACTAGAGGGAAGGCAACTAGTCATCACAACCAACTCTTGGGCTACTCTTTTACCAACGAATAGTGGGATTGACCATAACGTTATAACGCCCCTACTGCTGAAAGGGCGAGCATGTTTGATGGGACGGAAATTCGAACCCGCGACCCTCAGATTGTGAGTCAAGCGCCCTAACCATCTGGCCCACAAAATTATGAAAGGGGGGTGCGCACCTCCCCCAGAAGGCTGAGATAATCACATTTTTCAAGTCATTCTAACATCTGGCATACATTTTCACGTTTGTTTGGTCGTGAACACACTACTTCAAGCATTAATAAAAGAGAAAATTCCTAATTCTGAACTGTCTTGTATTACCATAGTTTTGGACATTTTTATATTTTATAACACAAGAGTGTTGATGACCTTGGATATTCAAGATCAGGTAACGAAGATTATATAAATTACATGCACAGATCCAGAAACATGCTTTCTTTAGTGTATAAATATTTCGAGGTCGTTCAACAATTATTAGCGACATCAAGACCAGGAATATGTATAGTACAAAGAATAACGTGCTTGGACTAAATAAGCATGTTTTGTAACTGCGTCAGATAAACGTATATGGAGTCGGTTTTGATCCTGGATAGGTTACAGTCTTCAAGGTAAAATAACATTAATCTCCCAGTTTTAGCAAGTGTGCTAAACTAACAATATTCAGTACTGAATAGTAGTATTAAACTGTAACTGTAAAGGTGAAGTGAACTTACTAATATATTTCGAGGCATCAAAGAATAACGTCTGCTATAGAAAAAAGTACATACATTCTGCCAGTTTAATTCTACAATAGTCTACTGCAATGGTTCCCAACCTTTGCTCCACCAAGGACCCCATGTTTTTAAAAGATTCCGCCTACCCAACAAACTGTTTTTGTTTGTTTGTTTGTTTTTTGAATTTCGCGC